CTGAACAAAACCCTATGATAGTTTCTCCTTAGGTTCACTATAAGTCACAAATGACTTGAAGATACACAGCAGCAGCTTCAAAATACATCAATCAAGGAGAGACAGCTAGAGAAGCCAAGTGTGCTTTCCACAGAACCAATTGCACTAACATTTAGTGTCCTGTTCGATTTAACAGGTCACTAAGCAGAATAATAAAGTAATAGTTGTTATTATTATTATTATTATTATTATTATTAGAAACACAACAAGATGAGTCCACAGCAGACACTCTGCTGGCTGTTGTATTGGATCACACATCGGACACTTCCCAAGTGTCTAGGACTGTGTGATTCATTATTATTATTATTATTATTATTATTATTATTATTATTATTATTATTATTATTATTAGAAACACAACAAGATGAGTCCACAGCAGACACTCTGCTGGCTGTTGTATTGGATCACACATCGGACACTTCCCAAGTGATGTATTGGCAAATAATGTGTGCAGATCCCAGTAAGGTGGCCTTTTGCAGCTGGCAGATGGTAATTTTGTCAGCGCAGAATGTGTTTAAGTGCAGGCCAAGGTCTTTAGGCACTACCAGTGTGCCGATCACCACTGGGACCACCTTGACTGGCTTGTGCCAGAGTCTTTGCAGTTCAATCTTTAAATCCTCATATCGTGTCAGCTTTTCCAGTTGTTTCTCTTCAATCCTGCTGGCACCTGGGATTGCAACATCGACAATTCATACTTTGTTTTTTAACATGATCGTGAGGTCAGGAGTATTGTGCTCCAAAACTCTGTCTGTCTGAATTTGGAAGTCCCAGAGTAGCTTGACATGTTCATTTTCTGTAACTTTTTCCAGATTGTGATCCCACCAGTTCTTTGTCGCAGGCAGATGGTATTTGTGGCACAAGTTCCAATGAATCATCTGAGCAACGGTGTTATGCCTCTGCTTGTAGTCTGTCTGCGCGATCTTCTTGCAGCAGCTGAGGATGTGATCTATTGTTTCATCTGCTTCCTTGCCGAGTCTACATCATCGTTGTTGTTGTTGTTGTTGTTGTTGTTGTTGTTATGTTTGTTGGGGAATGGGAGGGAGGGGGCTCATCTAATATTGCCAGGAAGGGAGTTCCATAACTGGGGGGGCAATCACTGAGAAGGCCCTGTCCCTCATCCCCGCCAAACGCGCCTGTGATGGTGGCGGGACCAAGAGCAGGGCCTCCCTAGAAGAGCATAGTTTCCACAGTGGGTCACAAAGGGAGATGCGTTTGGACAGGTGAGCTGGACTGGGGCTGTTTAGGGCTTTACAGGCCAAAGCCAGCAGTTTGATTTGTGCCTGGTAGCAAACAGGCAGCTAGCAAAGGTGACATAACATGGGATCTGTGTGTGCTCCCTCATCCCCACCAAACGTGCCTGTGATAGTGGCGGGACCGAGAGCAGGGCCTCCCCAGAAGATTGTAATTTGGTCCCGTAGCCAGGTCTTCACCATCCTTCTGAAGGACAGGAGGGAGGGGGCTGATCTAATATTGCCAGGAAGGGATTTCCATAACTGGGGGGCAATCACTGAGAAGGCCCTGTCTCTCGTCCCCGCCAAACGCGCCTGTGATGGTGGCAGGACCGAGAGCAGGGCCTCCCCAGAAGACTTGGTCCCACTGCCAGGTCTTCACCATCCTTCTGAAGGACAGGAGGGAGGGGGCTGATCTAATATTGCCAGGAAGGGAGTTCCATAACTGGGGGGCAATCACTGAGAAGGCCCTGTCTCTCATCCCCGCCAAACGCGCCTGTGATGGTGGCGGGACCGAGAGCAGGGCCTCCCTAGAAGAGTGTAGTTTCCACAGTGGTTCGCAAAGGGAGATGCGTTCGGACAGGTAAACTGAGCCGGGGCTGTTTAGGGCTTTACAGGCCAAAGCCAGCCCTTTGAATTGTGTCCGGTAGCAAACAGGCAGCTAGCGGAGCTGACGTAACATGGCAGTTGTGTGCTCCCAGTATGCCGCCCCAGTTATTAACTTGACTGCATCTTGTTGGACTATTTGAATCTTCCAAACAGTCTTCAAAGGCATCCCCATGTAGAGCACTGTATGCTGCCCCAATTATTAACTTGGCTGCCTCTCGTTGGACTATCTGAAGCTTCCGAATAGTCTCCAAAGGCAACCCCATGTAGAGCGTGTTGCAGTAGTCTATCCTGGATGTAACGAGAGCGTGGACCACCATAGCCATTTTCGCTTATCCAATGTTCTGTCGGCTTGTTTATGTTGAATAAGTGAGACTCTACTGTAAGTCCCATTTGCAGCCTAGCATTATTGTTGCAAAGGTCCTGCATGTAGATACTGGAATATGTTGCTCGACCCTCTCTCCCATGGAGAGTAACTCGGTTTCCCTCTGACTTTGCATCCCTCCCGCTCAGCTTAGCGTCTCTTTGACGGATGCAAAGGATGTTTCTTCATTTAGAGCGTTCCCGCTTCTCCCCCTTCCCGGTTTCCTCTGCTTCTGCCCACACCATATGGACCGTGTGTGGGTAAACAGAGGCCTCCCTGAGTCTCGGGGACGGTTTGTTTGGAAGCACTTGTCCTTGCTAAACATTGTGTTTCGCAAGTGTCATTTAAGAACAAAATAGAGAACAGGGCTGGGGCCCGGGAGTCTCCCCTCGAGGCTGGCAAGGAGCCACTCAATTCAGCCAAACGCTGCCAACACTTAATTCGCTTCATTGTTATTTTCCTTCTCCCTACACAGAGGGTGTTTTGGATCTCTCTCTCTCTCTGTGTGCATTTATTTTTATTTCCTGACTTATTTTTACGCTGGCTCAAGTCTGTGTGTATATGTCTGTGTGTGTGCCCTAGATATAGAAAAAGATGCATCATTGTTCCATCATTGTTTGAGTCCACAGTGCTCTCTGGTTGTAGGTGAACTATAAATCCCAGCAACTACAATTTCCAAATGCCAAGGTCTATTTTCCCCAAACTCCATCAGTGTTCACATTTCGGCCTACTGAGGATTTGTGCCAAGTTTGGTCCAGTTCCATCATTGTTTGAGTCCACAGTGGTCTCTGGTTGTAGGTGAACTATAAATCCCAGCAACTACAACTCCCAAATGTCAAGGTTTTAGCCCAGCTCTCTAATCATAGAATCAAAGAGTTGGAAGAGACCTCATGGCCCATCCAGTCCAAATCCTTGCCAAGAAGCAGGAAAATGGCATTCAAAGCACTCCCAAGAGATGGCCATCCAGCCTCTGTTTAAAAGCCTCCAAAGAAGGAGCCTCCACTACACTCCGAAGCAGAGAGTTCCACTGCTGAACAGCTCTCACGGCTAGGAAGTTCTTCCTATAATGTTTATTTATTTACCGTGTATACTCAAGTATAAGCCAACCCGAATATAAGCTGAGAACCTAATTTTACCACAAAACATTGGGAAAACGTATTGACCTGAGTATAAGCCGAGGGAATAATAATAATAATAAAACTTTATTTATACTTTGCTTCCATCTCCCAAGGGACTCGTTGCGGCTTACATAAGGCCGAGCCCAAAATACATCAATAATAAAAGCAATAAGAACAAATAATACAAAACAATAAAATAAAACTCATAACAAAAATAAGCAATAAACATTCACAGTAACACAACAATATTTAAAACCTATGGCTGGGCCATAGACAGGGCCTTCTCAGTGATTGCCCCCTGGTTATGGAATAATTAAAATTTAAAGATAATGCTGAGCATGAATAGATGAAATATGAACTAGGATAGAGTTTTCAGAGTGGGATGGGCATGCAGACATTCCTAGATCCATAGTAAAGTGCATTTAGAGGACGTATTGCTGGGAGTTTCCTTATTCTGGGGATTTTATTTGTCGTGTCAGGACAACCAGTCAAATTATATAACATTTCTAACAGAACAAAGCAAACAAACAGAAAAAATAAAAAAAATTGTGAGTTTGGTAGTTGATTAAATGTCCTTTGACCAGTATCTGGCCACTTGGAGTACTTCTGGTGTTGCCACAAGGAGGTCCTCCATTGTGCATGTGGGTGGGCTCAGGTTGCATTGCAGCAGGTGGTCAGTGGTTTGCTCTTCTCCACACTCGCATGTCATTGATTTCACTTTGTAGCCCCATTTCTGAAGGTTGGCTCTGCATCTCGCGGTGCCAGAGCGCAGTCTGTTCAGCGCCTTCCAAGTCACCCAGTTTTCTGTGTGCCCAGGGTGGAGTCTTTCATTGGGTATAAGCCGTTGGTTGAGGTGCTGGGTTTGAGCTGCCACTTTTGGTCTCTCGCTTGCTGAGGTGTTCCAGTGAGTGTCTCTGTAGATCTTAGAAAACTATTTCTAGATTTAAGTCGTTAATGTGCTGGCTGATGCCCAAACAAGGGATGGGCTGGAGATGTCTCTGCCTTGGTCCTTTCACTGTTGGCTGCTACTTCCCGGCGGATGTCAGGTGGTGCAGTGCCAGCTAATCAGTGTAATTTCTCCAGTGGTGTAGGGCGGAGACACCCTGTGATAATGCGGCATGTCTCATTAAGAGCCACGTCCACTGTTTTAGTGTGATGAGATGTGTTCCACACCAGGCATACATACTCAGCAGCAGAGTAGCATAGCGCAAGTGCAGTGATCCCCAGGTTGTGCCAGTCAGCTTTCGTATGATATTGTTTCTAGCACCCACTGAATGGAGATGAATGAATGTGTATGTGTAATGTGAATGCTGAGTAAAAACTGTAATTCCCCTTTGTTTGTTAGCCAATGTAACTGTAAGTTGTTTGTGGATTCAATGTAGTTATATAGAATCTGTATGTCTGCATCTCTAATATCTGATGCCTTTCCTCATCCTGGAAAATCACAATAAAAAGAACCTATGCTTCAAAGTTATTGAAAAGTAATGCATAAAAGTAAAGTGTTATTGTGGTAATTTGCAATATTGTGACTTTTCCAGGGGTATCTTCCTTTCCCTTGATGAAGTTGAAGTGCACATTATCATGATGTGGTTTATTTGAGGAGAAAACATCTCAACTACCTGTTACTCTCTGCCCTTCTTGCAGACGAACCAAGTAGGTGCTACTTCCATGATGGCGATGGGGTATGTGAAGAATTCGAGGAAACCACCAGCATCATGGACTGCGGAGTCTACACACCCAAAGGCTTCCTGGATCAGTGGGCTTCAAATGTTTCAGTCTCACATCATGATGAACGCTGCCCAGGATTGGTGGTGATAGGCCAGCCAGCAGCGAATCAGGTAAGGACCAGTCTGCACTGTGCTAGAATTCAGCTTTCTTATGTGGTCTAATAACATCAGAACAGGTTTGTAAGAGGAAAGTGTTGGAAATGGCAACCTTCTCAAGCCTTTGCTGGTTATGTATATAATTGCTGTATTGTATGTGCAAATTATTTTGCAATTTTACCTAACCTCTGTTGTGGGAGATGTTGCAGACCATCTGATAAGTCTGGATATCTTCAGAACTGAGACTCAATTTTAGATCAGTGTTTGCTTTCGACTTTGGTGGAGACAGAAACCAAAGACCATCAGAAAACACAGTATTATGGTTGGTCATGGGGGTTCTGTGTGGGAAGTTTGACCTAATTCTGTCGTTGGTGGGCTTCAGAATGCTCTTTGGTTGTAGGTGAACTATAAATCCCAGCAACTACAACTCCCAAATGTCAAGGTCTATTTCCCCCAAACTCCACCAGTGTCCACATTTGTACATATTGAGTGTTCGTGCCAAGTTTGGTCCAGATTGATCATTGTTTGAGTCCACAGTGCTCTCTGGATTCAGGTGAACTATAGCTCCCAAACTCAAGGTCAATGCCCACCAAGCCGTTCTAGCATTTTCTGTTGGTCATGGGATTTCTGTGTGGCCAGGTCTGATTCAATTCCATTGTTGCTGTTCAGAAAGCTCTCTGATTGTAGGCGAACTATAAACCCCAGGAACTACAACTCCCAAATGACAACATTAATCTCCTCCAACCCCACCAGTATTCAAATTTGGGAGTATCGRGTATTTGTGCCAAATTTGGTCCAGTGAATGAAAATCCATGTTGCATATCAGATATTTACATTGCGATTCATAACAGTAGCAAAATTACAGTTATGGGGTAGCAACAAAAATAATGTTATGGTTGGGGGTCACCACAACATAAGGAACTGTAATAAGGGGTCACKACATTAGGTAGGTWGAGAACCACTGCATTAGACCCTTAGAGAGAGTAGAAGCCATCTGTTTGCATCAGAAGCAGTGAGTACAGTTAAACTTCAATATAGGAACAGTATGCTATACAGAAACCATTAAGCACCTGCACCTTGAATTGGGCCCGGAAAATGAATGGCAGCCAATGGAGCTCCTTAAACAGGAGGGTTGACCTCTCTCTGTAAGGAGCACCAGTTAACAGTCTGGCTGCCGCCCGCTGAACTAACTGGAATTTCCGGGCCGTTTTCAAGGGCAGCCCCACGTAGAGTGCATTACAGTAATCCAATCTAGAGGTGACTAAGGCATGGACCACCCCGACCAGATCCGTCTTCACGAGGCTTGATTCATGCATGATTGATGTCTGGATTGGAACATATTCTGCTCGCAATGGATTGTCTTTTTCTGCACAGAAAATTCGGTGTGAATTCTGTACAGCAGCGTTTCTCAACCTGGGGGTCGGGACCCCTAAGGGGGTCATAAGAGGGTATCAGAGGGGTCGCCAAAGACAATTAGAAAACACAGTATTTTCTGTTGATCGTGGGGGTTCTGTATGGGAAGTTTGGCCCAATTCTATTCTCGGTGGGGTTCAGAATGCTCTTTGATTGTAGGTGAACTATACATCCCAGCAACTACAACTCCCAAATGTCAAGGTCTGTTTTCCTCAAACTCCACCAGTGTTCACATTTGGGCATATTGAGTATTAGTGCCAAGTTTGGTCCAGATCCATCATTGTTGGAGTTCACAGTTCTGTCTGGATGTAGGTGAACTACAACTCCAAAACTCAATGCTCACCAAACCCTTCCAGTATTTTCTGTTGGTCATGGGAGTTCTGTATGCCAAGTTTGGACCAATTCTATCATTGGTGGAGTTCACAATGCTCTTTGATTGTAGATAAACTGTAATTCCCAGCAACTACAATTCTCAAATGACAGAATCACCTACTCCCCGGCAACCCCAACAGTACTCAAATTTGGGTTTATTGGCTATTTGTGCCAAATTTGGTCCAGCAAATGAAAAAATAATATGTGTATTGGATATTTACATTATGATTCATAACAGTAGCAAAATTACAGTTCTTCTCGTTACAACCTGGGATCACAATCAGACACAGTGAAGACATCTGCTTTTACGTTTGGTTACTCTGCTGCTGAGTACGCATGCCCAGTGTGGAACATATCTCATCACATTAAAACAGTGGATGTGGCTCTTAATGAGGCATGCCCTATGACCTCCCCTCTCATCTTGATACATGGTCCTCATCATGTCTCCTTCTGGTCGCTTCTCGTCACAACCTGGGGATCACAACCAGACACAGTGAAGACATCTGCCCTTACGTTTGGCTACTCTGCTGCTGAGTACGTATGCCCAGTGTGGAACACATCTCACCACTTTAAAACAGTGGATGTGGCTCTTAATGAACAGTTCTGAACTATCAATGAAAATGATGTGATGGTTGGGGGTCACCACAACATGAGGAACTGTATTAAGGGGTCTTAGCATTAGGAAGGTTGAGAAACATTGCTGTACAGACTAAATCTCAAACTGTGAAAAGTCATTGTGAACTGCAGCTATTTCCCAGCAGGAAAAATTGCCTTGGTGTATATATCATTTGAAAAATAAAAAGTGACAATATAACATTAATTTAGAGAGATGGCGAGAAGCTGCGGGGAAAGCCCAAAACACTAGAGCTTGCTCTTGGCATCTGCACGGGAAGTTTTAACAAGAGGTCCACGAGTCACGCCAAAGGTGAGGAATCCCCATTCCCGGCGAGGCCGCAAGTGCCGTCGCGGTCATAGCAGGCCAATTTCCTCTCTTCCTTTCTCTGATTTGAGAACACTGTATTTGTTGGCAGTGCCAGACCTTGAGGGAATTCTGTTCCAGGGGCCGATTTAACTCGCTGAAGTCACACCATGCCATAGACAGTTTTGCAATGCGAATCCTGTTTTCTTTTTGCAAGTCATTGGAAGTGACCAAGGTTAGAAGTCAATGGCTTCAAATGTGTTACTAGTCCAGATGGAAAGCTTGCCATTAGCTAATCGGTTCCGAGATTACTTGGAACCCAAATCTCAGAGAGAACACCGTCGTCCATTAAAATCTGCAAGAACACTTTGGCTGTTATCAAAGCTCACAGAGATGGTGAATGTTTGATTGAGTAGCAAAGCGCAAGGGCAGATGTCTTCACTGTGTCTGGTTGTGATCCCCAGGTTGTGCCAGTCAGACCTTTGCAAAACTGGGAGACGGTGATCGTGCATTCGGACAAAGTGGCCAGTCCAGTGGAGTTGATGGTGGAGGACCATCACTTCAGTGCTGGTGGTCTTTGCTTCTTCCAGCACTTACATTTGTCCGCCTGTCTTCCCAAGAGATTTGCAGGATTTTTTTGAGGAATTGTTCTAGGAGTTGCATGTGACGTCTGTAGATAGTCCACATCTCGCAGCCGTATAGCAGGGTTGGGAGGACGATAGCTTAATAAACAAGCACCTTGGTATCCCTACGGATGTCCCAGTCCTCAAACATTCTCTGCTTCATTCGGAAAAATGCTGCACTCGCAGAGCTCAGTTGGTGTTGTATTTCAGTGGCTGCCAAGGAGTGGAAATGGTCAACATTTTCTGATGTTACACCGTTAAGCTGTATTTCTGGCATTGGAGAGGGATTGGTTGGTGACTTCTGGAAGAGCACTTTGGTTTTCTTGATGTTACATGACAGGCCGAGCTTCTCGTATGCTTCTGCAAAGGTGGCTCGTAGGTCTTCTTCTGAATGCGCACAGATGACGTTGTCATCAGCATATTGGAGTTCTATAACAAGGTTGTTGTAACCTTGGTTTTGGCTTTCAGTCTGCTGAGGTTAAATAGCTTGCCATCTGTCCGATAGATAATTTCCACTCTGGTGGGAAGCTTCCAATAAAAAAAATGAAGTATCATAGTATTTATTTATCATGTCATCAGCAACCATAGCATTGTATTACATTTCTAACAGAACAAAACAAACAAACAAATAAAAAACCACAAATTTTGCAAACTTGGTAGTTGATTAAATGTCCTTTGACCAGTATCTGGCCACTTGGAGTGCCTCTGGTGTTGCCGCAAGAAGGTCCTCAATGGTGCATGTGGCAGGGCTCAGGTTGCATTGCAGCAGGTGGTCACTGGTTTGCTCTTCTCCACACTCGCATGTCGTGGATTCAACTTTGTAGCCCCATTTCTTAAGATTGGCTCTGCATCTCGTGGTGCCAGAGCGCAGTCTGATCAGCGCCTTCCAAGCCGCCCAGTCTTCTGTGTGTCCAGGAGGGAGTCTCTCATCTGGTTTCAGCCACGGATTGAGGTGCTAGGTTTGAACCTGCCACTTTTGGACTCTCGCTTGCTGAGGTGTTCCAGCGGTAGATCTTAGAAAACTGTTTCTTGATTTAAGTAATTGACGTGCTGGTTGATACCCAAACAAGGGATGAGCTGGAGATGTCACTGCCTTGGTCCTTTCACTATTGGCTGCAACTTCCCAGCAGATGTCAGGTGGTGCAATACCGGCTAGGCAGTGTAATTTCTTCAGTGGTGTAGGGTGCAAACACCCTGTGATAATGCGGCATGTGTCATTAAGAGCCACATCCACTGTTTTAGCGTGGTGACATGTGTTCCACACTGGGCATGCGTACTCAGCAGCAGAGTAGCATAGCGCAAGGGCAGATGTCTTCACTGTGTCTGGTTGTGATCCCCAGGTTGTGCCAGTCAGCTTTCGTATGATATTGTTTCTAGCGCCCATTTTTGCTTAACGTTCAGGCAGTGCTTCTTGTAGGTCAGAGCATGGTCCAGAGTGACTCCCAGGTATTTGGGTGTGCTGCAATGCTCCAGTGTGATCCCTTTCCAGGTAATTCTCAGAGCTTGAGAAGCTTGTCATCCAAATGGGTAGCCTTTTTTCTGATGGTTCAGTGTATCCAAATGTTGTTTCATGCAGAAGTTTATACTATGTAACATGGGGTTTTTTTTTGTTCCTGGGTTATAAATGTTGTTTTCTAATTGGTTCTATTATGACAACATGGGGAAAGTTTATTAAACTGCAAAAAGAA